CTGGTCAATCCAGTTGTGAGGAGGAGCTACGGTATAACTAAAAGTCTACGTACCTTAATGCAAAGACCAGATATTCTATTCCCTTCAGTATAAAGCAAACAGCTCCATGCATAAACTAGTATAAAAGCTTTTCTACATAAAAATGTGGCACTTAGTAACTTTTATTTTTCATTTCATTCAATGAACCTTCAATGCCTACTCTCTATCAGGCAGAAAGAAACCAAATTTTATATAGTCATTCAACTATGAAACTTCTGGTGACAGGTGAAACACCACGTGCTCACACACTGAAACTGAAACAAGCAGAACTCGGTTACTTCCTTTAAACTAGGGTTACCAAACCCACAGGAATAGTATCACGAGCAACAAGAAGAAAAGGCGTTTATATCTTTGTTTTATTTTACCTCTGTTTGATGCTGATAAAGAAGTAAAATATAGATTCTTGAATTACTACCACATGACCACTTACAAGATTGTCTTTTGAAACCTCCAATTTTAAAATTGATGGAAGGCAATCCTTGCCTAGCTTATTTTACCATGAGGTAGTGGTGGCAGACATATAATCAATACCAGAAATAATCATGATAATCATTTCAACTTAAATGCAAGGAAGAATGAAAATTTACTTCTGAAGAGCTCTGATAGACAGGGTCCCCTATAAGTGTCAAGTTCAGAAATCACCAGTGGGTGTCTCTATGAACCCTAATACAGGAAGGAAGACATGAGAGGAAACAAAGTACAGAAATAATTTTTAAAATGGAATTAGGTGTTTTTAAACAAGAATCAGAATTTGATTTGCCAAGTATTTCATTATCACAACAGGATCTCGCCTCTTTAATCGTATGGGTACTATACCAGTTGCCATCGAATCGACTGCAACTCATGGTGACCCCACGTGTGTCAGAGCAGAACTGCCCTCCATAGGGCTTGCAGTGGCTGATTGAAACCCTTCTTCTGAGCTGCCTCTGGGTGGACTCGAACCTCCAAACTTTCAGTTAGCAGCTGAGTGTGTTACACATTTGCACCACCCAGGGACTATAGCATCTCATAATTTATAAAACAGGCGCAGGGTATAAAGGTGTCGACTGATCTAAAGCAACTTCTGTGAGAGTGGTCAAAATACATTACTGGCTAGCTCCATTACCTGTACCAAAAACTTCCTTTAGATTTTTATGAGCTTTTGACCATTCTCTACTGAGCAAGGATCTCAATATATTAGAATCCGGTGTGTCTGGGTTTTGTTTTTGGTGAGGGGGGCTCCCATTCTTGAGAAGTCAGAATAGGGGAAGATATTAAGAGACAGGGAAGGATTTGTTTCTCAATTTAATGGTTTGTTTAACTGACAGCCCCACTAGGGGGTTGGAGTATATTAAGAAGTACTTGAAAATATAAATCTACATTTGGTTTGGGTACAAAAGAGAAAATACTTGCATAATTTGTTACTCTTTCATGCTCAAAAAAAAAAACCCACTAAAAATCCCTAAAATAAATCATTAATGCATATGAATACATCTTTTCTTTTACTTCTTAAAAGAATAATAATACTTACTGTTGTGAGAAATTAATGAGAATACATACTGTGTGTTTGGCTTTCTTTTTAGACGTCAAAATTCTCAAGAGTAGTCTATACTGAATAAACTCACTTGATGGCATGCTCTGGTGCATTTGGAATGTTTTGGAACATAATGTAGACTAATATATCCAATTATTCTTAGGCACTCCCACTGTTTTTCTGAAACTACTGGTGAATAAACTGACCTCCTGGTTACCTATTCTGATGGCCTTGCCAATCCATTCCTTTCATTCCACTCCCACTGCAGCCTCCACTTGAACAGACCTTCGTTCTCACTGCTAACCTCCCCCCGCACTTACACATATATACTGCCATCCTTCCTGCCTCTTTATACTGTTCTAGTTCTGCTTTTATCCTTTTGGCTGGATCTTCTCTGTATCCTTTGTTGTTGTTAGATTCCTTAAAGTCAGTTCCAGCTCATAGAGACCCTATGTACAACAGAACAAAACACTGCCTGGTCCTGCTCCATCCTCACAATTGTTGCTATGGTTGAGCCCACTGTTGCAGCCACTGTGTCAATCCATCTCGTTGAGGGTCTTCCTCTCTTTTGCTGACCCTCTACTTTACCAAGAATGAAGTCCTTTTCCAGGCACTGGTCCCTCTTGACAACATGTCCAAAGTACGAAAGACAAAGTGTCGTCATCCTCACTTCTAAGGAGCATTCTGGCTGTACTTCTTCAAAGACAGATTTGTTCATTCTTCTAGCAGTCCACGGTATATTCAATACTCTTTGCCAATACCATAATTCAAAGGCATCAATTCTTCTTCAGTATTCCTTAGTCACCGTCCAGCTTTCGAATGCATATGAGGCAATTGAAAATACCATGGCTTGGGTCAGACACACCTTAGTCTTCAAGGTGACATGTTTGCTTTTTAACACTTTAAAGAGGTCTTTTGCAGCAAATCTGCCCAATGCAATAGGTCGTTTGATTTCTTGACTGCTGCTTCCATGGGTGTTGATTGTGGATCCAAGTAAAATGAAATCCTTGACAACTTCGCTCTTTTCTCCGTTTATCATGATGTTGCTCATTGGTCCAGTTGTGAGAATTTTTGTTCTCTTTATGTTAAGGTGTAATCCATACTGAAGGCTATAGTCTTTGATCTTCATCAGTAAGTGCTTCAAGTCCTCTTCACTTTCAGTAAACAAGGTTGTGTCATCTGCATAATGCAGGCTGTTAATGAGTCTTCCTCCAATCCCGATACCTCATTCTTCTGGATACAGTCCAGCTTCTTGGATTGTCTGTATCCTTGCTGGCCCCTAAACCCAACCTTTAGCCCTTGACAGTTTCCTGTTTATACTCTCTCCTTCACAGAACTTTTTCTCTCGTAGTTTCAACTATTAATACAGATGACTACAAACTTCTATATCTCCAGCTCCAACTCGATCCTGAGTGGCTGGACATCTCCATTTGAAGGCCCTGCCATCACTTCAAAATAAAATTAATACTTATCCTCAAACCAGATTCTCAACTTCCTATCTTTCTATTCTGCTGGTAATTTTGTTATTCCCCTAGTCTTCCTTGTCCAAAATCTTCAATGTTATTTTTTAATTTCACCATTCCCTCTATACATGTAGTCTTTCAATAAATCTGTTCCTTTCCACTTCAGCTTCTAACATTCTAGTCCATACTCTCATCATCTCATATCTACTCCACTGCAATAATCTTCTCAATGTCCTCCCTAACTCTGATTTATTCTAGAACCAATGCATCCTCATAATGTTAATACTCTGATGTTCCCCATACATTCTGTCATAACTCTATCACTCCCCTGCTCATAAATCTTTGATGACTTCCTACTGCTAAGGGAATAAAATTCAGAATCCATATCTGCCATTTCAAACCCAGCAAAATCTCTTTACCTTCACTGCCAACTTCTAACCAATATAAACCCTTCGTACCAAAGAGTCATAGTCCTTACTGTCCCTTTAACATACTAGGTTCTATGCTTCTGCTTACACCATTCTTTCTAGTGAGACTGCCCTTCCCTCTCCTCTATGCAAGTTAAGTTCTCTCTTATTCCCGAGGCCCATATGAAGACCCATTATTTCTATAAAGACTTTCATAATCACAGCATTGCTTATAACCTATCAACTGGCATTTATGACAGTCTGTCTTGTATAGTGATTTATCTTAAATGTAAATGTATATATAAGAAAACATATATATATATATATAAATATATATATATATAACCTATCGTCATTGATTCTGACTCATAACAACCCTACAGGACAGAGTTGAACTTCCCCATAGAGTCTGGAAGGCTGTAAATCTTTATGGAAGCAGACTGTCACGTCTTTCTCCCACCGAGCAGCTGGTAGGTTCAAACCACCGACCTTTTCAGTTAGCAGCCAAGTGCTTAACCACTGTGTCACTAGGGCTCCATATATATACATATATATATATTTAGATATATACATAGATAGATACATTTAGATATATATAGATATATACAGATATATATATTTAGATACGTACATATATATTTATACACGTGTATTTCCTGTTTCCCCAATGAAATTGATAGCCCCATAAGGGTATGTACTAAAAAAAAAACAAAAACAAAAAAACAAAAAACAAACCATTGCCATTAAGTTGATTCCAACTCATAGTGAACCTACAGGACAGAGTAGAACTGCCCCACAGGGCTTCCAAGGAGCAGATGGTGGATTAGAACTGCTGACCTTTTGGTTAGCAGCCAAGGTCTTAACCACTGCACCACCAGGGCTCCAAGGGTATGTACTAGGCCTTTGTATTTCATCTTTGCACCTGCACTCAAGATGATAGACTTTAGCTATGACATTTTATGTGACTATTTATGTGAATAAAAAGTTTAGCTATTAAGATAATACACATACTATATGTCTTTGTGTGCTCATGATGTTAACAATATCTGATAAAAAGAAATTACTAAAAACATGAATTTATTAAATCTATACTAAAACATAGTCTATTAACTGGATGATGGAGGACTCAAAAACGTCTTCGATTCTGAATCACACTTCTTTAAAAAGCCAAGGGGTAGGGTAACCAATAAAACCTGTTTCCAAATACTGATTAAATAATCTAATATTCTCAAAAGTGTACCTCTAGCTCTTTGTCAACGAATTATATTCAAGACCTTTCTACCTTTCATTTGAATCACCAAAAGATAAATATTTAGTACCATTTTAAACATGATACAGTCAAAGATTTAAGTTCATCTATGCTGAGGTTTAAATTATATTGAAAGTAGCAGTCACCAGAATATACCAGGTGACATTACTCAGTATTTTCTTCCTTATGGCAACTAATAACATCAAACTAAGATTCAGTTCTTTTACTTCTCTTTGAAATAAAACCACACTTGAAGAACAGTGACACAACTAAGCTAAAATATTAATTCAAAGGTTGTTAGTTGTTTTATAAAAGTAAAATATTCTTACCTTGTATAAACAAATAGGGTTCCTTCCACATCAGTCTTCTCCTAAAAAATAAAATACACAACAAAATATGTATATTCTCTTCATTAACAGTAAAGATTCACAGAAGTTGGAGAACATAAATTTCTTATAGAACAAATAGGAATTATATTCAGATTCAAACAGAAGCTGCAGTGGGCCAAATATATGCAACATGAGGGATTATTTTTAGGAAAACGAGAAAGCAGTTTCTCTTCCATAATTGTGGCACTGCTGATTAAGCAGCAGGAAGCGGCTGTTCTCCTTTTGTCATTTACAAAATAAACCATCATTATCTCTCTTTACCAAATACAGGGATGGCAACACACCTCTGACTGAAACAATAAGAAAATAACTGAACGTGCTCCATGGATTTCATTAAAAAGAAGAGATTATAATAAGTGTGCTGCCTTTTCCTCCACCCTCTGAATTGGGTATATCGCAAGCTGCAGAAATCACTTGTGTCTGCATTTCATTATCTTTCTCTTTATTTTCTGGGTTCATTTTTCTCCTGCCATATCCTGTCACCTAGGAGAGCAGATGATCTGCCAATAACTCTGGTTGATTATTAGATGGAAGAAGGCAATGATGCTGTAAAGTTGTGAATCTGATGAATAAATCACCTACTTGGTGTGGAATATTTCGAGTCAAGTTTTGATCTAAGATCTTTGAAATAAAGTTAGACAGAAGTATTACCAAGCTAGGACTTGAGAAATTTGCCTGAGGGAGGTGGGAAAGTGAAAAATGATGGTTCAGTTAGTTCATTTGGCTAGGTTTCTTCTCTATATCTCCAAAGGCAAGAACCGAGGCCCTGATGAAAATGTTCATCAATACAATGTATACTAAAAACATCTAAGTACCCATTTGTTTGACTAACTAGTAATTAACCAGTTGCTGTCAAGTCAGTTCTGACTTATGGAGACCGCATGTGTGTCAGAGTAGAACTGTGCTCCATAGGGTTTTCAACGGCTGATTTTTTGGAAGTAGATTGCCAGGCCTTTCTTTCAAGGTGCCTCTGGGTGGACTTGAACCTACAATCTTCGGGTTAGCAAGTGAGTGTGTTAACCATTTGCACTACCCAGGGACTCCAAATATTAATTAGACTATTATAATTCAGAATTTAAAATTACTTTTCTTATTTACACAGTTTCATTTCAGCATACTACTTAAATCCCCAATATTTTATCATTAATTTCATTACCATAATCATTAAACATTTAAGTACTTTGTAATTTCGGTAAAAAATATATTAAGTAAAAAGAAGTAATATTTAAATAATTTTTTAAAGGCACACTAACAATTGAAAGCATAATCTTTTCACATGCTCAAGTACTCTGAGCAGTTTTCAGTGGTCCTCAAAGTGTAGTTCACAGATCAGCAGCATCAGCAGCACATGGAAACTTTCTGGAAATGCAAATTATCTGGCTCTATCCCAGACCTGGAGTCCCTTGGTGGTGCAACCGGTTAATAAGCTCAACTGCTAACCAAAAGGTTGGAGGTTCAAGTTTACTCAAAGGCACCTCAGAAGAAAGGCCTGGCAATCAACTGCCAAAAAATCAGCTATTGAAAATCCTATGGAATACAGTTCTACTCTGACACGCATGAGGTCACCATCAGTCAGAATCAACTGCACAGCAACTGGTACTGGTACCCCAGACCTACTGGACTGAGGGGGTAGCGCCCAGCAATTTGTGTTTTATTAAACCCTCCAGAGATTCCCATACATGCTAGTTTGAGAACCACTGCCTTAGTTCAATAACATATTCTCTGCCCATGGATCTATATTAGGAGTCATGAAAATAAAATCTGATACGGCCCAAACTATACCAAACTGTCATCAAACATTGTTTTTTAAGAATAAATGACTTTGGAAAACATCATTACTTATTAACAAGATGTTTACTCTCAAGATGTTAATTATTACAGAATATGCTACTAGAAAAAGACAATTCATAACAGTTAAAACAATTTTAGCCAGTATTTGTTGAATACATAAGCACAGGTAAAGTAAGGGTTTCTTAAACAGTTTCTTCATCCTTAAACTGTATTCACTATGACATTTGTATAAATCATTCCTGTGCACTGTGAAAAGTATCCTTATTTGCCACTGCTTTGAAAAATACCCCAAGTCAAAATGAAAAAAAAAAAGATTATTTCTTATCCTTTTATGCTAAAAAAAAAAAAATTTAATTCGTTCCTGTTGAAAAATCTATATCCTAGGTGCACTTTAAGCACTGAGAATTGTTTTAAACACAAACCACCACGGTATTTATTAATCATTAAGAAAATGGCCACTGCAGTCCAAAAAATGCCACCCAAACAAGCTAAGAATTTGTAGGCATTCCTAAAGTTTTACTGGTACAGATGGCAAGCATTTATTCGGCCACAATGCCTTTTAGAACATATTTGTAAAAGTGAAATATTTGGTATCATCCATTATATTAATGGATAACTGAAGCCAAAATACAGGTGATGAATCTAGGACTTTGAAGCCCCTAGGTGTGTGGTCAGGATCACCTGCTACCAAGCCAAACACTTCCCTCTGTTCCAGCATTTGCCTTTAGACTGCTTCATCTTACAGCTGCCCAAGCCGGATGTGTGTATGTACCAGCACACATAAAGCTAATACTTTCTGGCTTGTTTCTTTTTTTCCTTGATGAATAATAGAAGATTAATGTATTTTAATATTGAAAAATCTAGAATCATAAAATGTAAAACATATGCTTCTGGAATTATTCTCTTGCTCATAACAAGCAATTCTTATAATTGAGATGTTTCTCTAGCATTACACACAATAAATGTGCGTTTGTTCACAAAAAGAAATTGTGCTTCAGTGATTACAATAGGGGACTTGGAGTGAGATTCTCCCCAGAGCATACTGGGCTAATTAGCTTATTACTCTATGTCTCAGTTTCTCCACTGAAAAGAGATAACCAGTCTATACCACTCAGGCCTTTTGATGGAAAACAAAAACAAAAACACCACCATATTTCACGGTTCTATGACACCTAGATAAAGGGGGCTTTAGAAATGTAAATTGCTGTTCCCTTACAGCTGAGACAGCTGAAATCCATCCATTTTCCTAGTCCCACTACAGTTATCCTAGGGCAACCAGATATTTTTTTCTTTTTGTGCAAAACCCAGGGTTGGGGTATAAGGAATATTTAAAACAAGATTTTATTAGATCCTTCTAATGTTAGGGAAACTCTGGTGGCATAGTGGTTAAGAACTATAGCTGCTAACCAAAAGGCTGGCAGTTTGAATCCAGCAGGTGCTCCCTGGAAACTCCATGGGTCAGTTAGTTTGGTTAATGTTACATTATTTGTTTACAGTCCTGAGATATATACTTTAGCTTAATTTCTTAAAGTATGATTTCCTACCATACTCCATTATAAAATCTAACAAGTCCTAAAAAAATAAGCAGTTCAAAATTCAAAATAATAAAATGGAATATAAAATTATGCCGTTTTGTAAATTATTGGGACTGAACGCACTATTTGACACTTTTGAGACAACGCGAAGCAATCTACTGATTATTTTAAGTTAAAATAATGAAAAAAATGGGCCTCAATTTGTCCTTCTAAATCTGTCTCTCTCAATGGTAGCATCTGAGTCACCCGTGAAGCTTTTTTTTTTTTAACAAATATCAAATGCCTGAGCCACCTAGCCAGAGATTTTGATTTGGTGGCTTGCATATTTAAAAACACTGAGTGATCTTAATACACAGGTAAGTTAGAAAACCATTAGCCAGAAACAGGACACTAGTTACTCTGAGGAGAGTCTCTAAAGGTGAGTACTACTGACATTTTGGGCCAGATAAATCTTTGTTGTGAGGCCTGTCCTGGGCACTGTAGGATATTTGGTACCACCCCTGGCTTCTATCCTCTAGATGCCAGTATAACACCCACCCCCCAAACTGTGACAACCACCGTCTCCAGACATTGCCAAATGTCCCCTCAGGGGCAACTCTGGTTGAAAACCCCTGCTCTAAAGACTGAGAGATGAAATAATAAAATTTGCTGCTGTGGAGTCGATTCCGACTCATAGCGACCCTATAGGACGGAACAGAACTGCCCTAAAGGGTTTCCTAGGCTGTAATCTTCACAGGAGTAGATTACCAGGTCTTTTCTCCTGCACAGCGGCTGGTGGGTTTGAGCAGCCAACCTTTTGGTTGGCTGTAGAGCACTTAACCACTGCACCACCAGGGCTCTCGTCAAAATAATACGAGGGTCATATTCTTTAATTGAACATAGTTTTATTTCGTTTTGGAGTCCTTCCTGGCAATAGGGATAAAATTCCTATTCTATTCATGACGTAACCTTTCTTAATCCTTCTGTAAAGCAGCTCATTCTGTCTACCCTTCATTCCTAAGTCCTCCTCCTCTAAAGGTGTAAAGTCATTCTTCATCTATTTTCAGTGTAATGTGAATTCCTCTTCTTACATTTACCTGCCTTTCTACAAATACTTTCTCCTCCATTCTCAAGAAATGTTCTTTATATTTTTAGTAATCTTATGTTGAAAAGGCTCCATCCAGAGACCTCGAGTTGGTGGCATATGGAGACAGTGGTGACAATTTTTGTTTGCTCCCAGTACCTGTTCTGCAGCTGAACTAGGTCTCTCTTTTTCTGGCTATCACAGCCTTGAAGGTTAATACTTTGTTGAAAGAATGACCTTTTGCTGAATGAATTATGCCCTGTCTGAAAGCAACAAGTCAGGAAGCAGGAAAACATGAGTCCTATAAATAATGCATTGTGACACTTCTGCCTTTTGATGAGGCTTTAGTAGATGGACTTCACTGGGTGTCTAATAAACCTCCCCAGCTATTTTAACAGGTAACTATCACATGGATCCTGTCAAAAGCTTATAGGAAACAAATATTAATCAAGAGGAAGTCTCTTCTTTATGGTGTAACAATTTCTCAACATTCTCCACTCTATTCTAGTGTCAAATTGGGTTACAGAACTATGTATCCCTGATCCTTAACTCTCTACTACAGAATTTCCTTTACAGAACTATGACATCGTACTTTTGGCATTTTCTGTAGAGCAGTATAATAGCTATATGTAGACTATCTTTGTATTTTTTAATTGCCATTGAGGAGATTGTCCACTATGTTGCTCAGTGTCTTTTACATAAAGACCCAGGAGACAAATTCCTCTGAAAGCTAGGGAGAAACAACCTCTCTCCTGATCAAGTGGTATACTACATATCACGGAACAATGAATATTAAAGAACTCTCCATGATTTCCTTTTTGGTTTAGCTACTAAGAAAGCAGAGCCAAATTCTTTAACCTATTTCAGTAAATTTCTTTAGTTAAGAACTTTGGGCAAATCTATTCTCTTCCTCTCGCATTTTAGGACTTGTCTTTTTATTTTTGTGCTAATTATTTTAATTTTTTTAAAAATAAGTTTTATTACAGGCTACTAAAAGATCTATATTGAGAAAAGTAGGCCATATAAACCAATGTTTATGGGTATTAAAAAGTACAGATTTGTTCAATATGGGTACTTTCCTTCCTTAAATTTTGGTGTTTGTTAATGACTTGGAGAATACTGATATTAAAAAAATTCATCTGAGATCCATTCATCCAGGCTCAGTTCTTTATACTGTTTTGTAATTTACTGAAAGTAATTGGTAGGTGGTTCTATAATGGATGGCTGGATATTATCTGGGACATAAATCGCTGTGAGGAAAGAAGGAAAAAAATACATCTCTCTGCATTCAAGTGGGTAGGTTACAAAAACAAATGCAGCAATTCCTGCAACAGGACACCTTGAGTGTCTTATGCTCCCCTCCTAATTCTGAGGAAATTATATTTCATTCTATTAATATTTCTTGGGGCTCTGCTTTCAGAACATAAAAATAATTTGGCTCCCAAATGTACTCAAATATCAAACTTATCTTGGTCTTGGTGGACTCTGGTGTAATAATCTTCCCAAGAACGCTAGCTTCCTTCTAACTGTTGAACCCACCCCATCGTCTTTTATTTCCTGACGCTTGCGCTTAGTGTATTACCTGAGTTTACAACTTCAGATTTCTCCCCTCTATCAAGGTTTGATTTCTCTTTGCCCCATCTAAGACTGACATTCCAGAACCAGAACGCTCCACTTTTATTCGTCCCCTGTCCCTGCCTCCTCTAGTCACTTTTACTTAACAAAATTCTGCTTTATTTTCTGGGAGTCCATCAGTCTTCTGGCCTCAAGGAACCAGATCCTTTATTTCCTTCAGCTCTCAGGGTCCCGTACCCGATCGATCTGGTCTCCCAACTTGGGATACCTCAGATATCTCCGTCTTTTCCCCAACTTCAGGTGGTTTCACATATCGGCCAGCCCTTCCCCCAATCCCTCGGGCCCAGGGCTCCTGTTTTCCACAACTTTGCTCTCAGGTCCCCGATCCGCCGCCATCCACAGGCGCAGCGTCTCCTCCCCCTCACCAGGACCTCGCGCCCGGGATCTGACGACCCCCCAATCCCACCCAGCCCGGGTCTGCACGGCCCCGTCGCGTCAGCACGCACCCACTCGTTGGCCCGATGGCCGAAAGTGTACAGAGCCACCTGGCTGGCCACGTCCACGATGCGGTTGATATAGGGGTCGTGGCGCTGCAGGGCCGCTAGGCTGATGTCGCGCCCCTTCCCGACCAGGCCACCCGCCGCCGCCATCTTCCCTCCCTCCCGGACATCAACACTGGCTTCTCGGAAGCCACTCTCAATTGATCACAGAACGAGCGAGCTGCCTAGCAAGCGAAAACACCCCGAATAGAAGAATAGAAGTCCGGGGAGGCCTTCCTTTTTCAGCCATTCCTCCCGCCCGCGGACGGAAGACATTACTAATCGATGGCGGCGCTCCTTTCCCCCTGAGGATCGTTGCCACTGGCAACGACAAGCCTAAGCTAAGCCTCTGAATCCGTATTTTTTACCCTCTGAGAGCGATTTCTTCCAACTTGAGCTTTTGAGCTGTACACGCGGTAGAATTTACCTCTTGGATGTGTTCGACGCTTTGACATTTCTTTCCCTTGGCACTTCAGTGATCAAATCTATAATCATAAATAAGCCTCAAGCGTGAATAACTCAGAAGGGAAAGAGAACTGTGATTTCTTTCTGCGCGAACACCCAGTGGTTCTCAAATTGTGGTCTATAGAACCCTTAGGAGGTTCCTGAGAGTGACCCTTTCAGGGGTTCTGCAAGGGGAAAACAATGCTAAGCCATTATTTGACTTTTTCACTGTGTTGACACAAAAGCAACGGTAGGTTAAAGTGCTGGTCCTTTAGCATGAAAATCAAAACAATGGCACCAAACTGTACTAGTAATCAACGTATTCTTCACTGCCATACATATGCAGGAAAAAAGCCAGTGGCACTTAAAAATGTTCTTGATAGTAAAAAATTTTAATTTCATTAAAGCTTAACCCTTGAGTATGCTTCTTTTTAATATTCCGAGCGGGGAAAAAATGGAAAGAACGCATAAAGAACTTCTGCATACCAAAGTATACAGCAAAACCTGCAAAAGCCATAACCTGTCAGGCAGAAACCTCTCACGGAAGGAAAACTAAAGTATTTTCCACTAACAGAGAGCGATAGAAAGTTTGCAAGACTGCACCCTGTCAGAGGTGGAAAACTTGTGAGACCCAGAGAAACAAGGCAGTCCTGTGGAGTTCTGGCTCTCACAGGTTTCACTGTAATTGTCTCCAGGAAAAGCACTCCTGTGCTTGTTTGAGTTGCAAGCTAAACTAGCCATTTTTTTCACCAACACTATTTTTACTTGAAAGACAAACTATGGTTATTTTAAATGTAATAAAATGTGTCAACATTTGAAAGATCTGCTTAACTCAATGAACCAATATTTTCCAAATGACCAATGTATCTATAATGTTACATCGTCATGCATGGGTAAAATACCCACTCAAGGAAAAGGTAGACTAATGGATTTTAACATAGCAGAGTAGGAAAAGTTAATAGACAAGTTTCAAGTAACACATTATAACTATCCTTTGAGAAATTATCAGTTGGTCAAGTTTTGATTCATTATCAAATATTCAGTTATCTGAAAAGACTATTAAAATACCCATCTCTTCTCCAACTACATATCTGTGTGAGGCCAGAGTTTTCTTCATCTACCATATTTTTTAAAATAACACGCCCACACATATAACGTGCATAGCATGCCTAGGAAAATGATGCGTGTGGGAGTTGCATGGTTGACAAAAAACGTATAACACGTGTGTCATTTGCATAAAATATGATACCTCAAAACAACATATAGCAAAGCAGAGGCAGACATGAGAACCCAGTTGTCTTTTATTAAGCCAGCCATTAAAGAGATTTACAAAATGTAAAATAATGCCACTATTCTTATTAATTTTTTTTTCTTTTGGAAAAAAAATCACTATTTTCATTAAAATAGGTTATTTATATTTACATTTAATAGCTTTATTATTGTTATTTTAAAATGAATGAGTGAATTTTTTAAAGCTCTCATCTTTATTTTCTAATATAATAATATAGATAAATATAATAAGCTACCTAAACAAACCAAAAAAGAATTGATATGTTTGAATTAAGGTGTTGGTGAAGAATACTGAATACACCATGAACTGCCAGAAGAATGAATAAATCAGTCTTGGAAGAAGTACAGCCAGAATGCTCCTTAGATGTGAGGATGGCAAGACTTCGTCTCACACACTTTGGACATGTTATCAGGAGGGACCAGTCCCTGGAGAGGAATATCATGCTTGGTAAAGCAGAGGGTCAGCAAAAGAGAGGAAGACGCTCAACAAGATGGATTGACACAGTGGCTGCAAGGATGGGCTCAAACATAGCAACAGTTGTAAGGATGCACAGGACCAGACAGTGTTTCATTCTTTGTGCATAGGGTCTCTGTAAGTCAGAAGAATCAACTCCACGGCACCTAGCAACAACAGCAACATAAACAAAAGCTCTTTGGGAGGGGGTCCTCAATAATTTTTAAGACGTAAAGGGGTCTTGAGACTAAAAAGTTGAGAACCACTGATCTAAACCATTTCTTCACTGCTGAATGTTACATCAGAACGACTGTGCAGAAATCCTATGTCACGTTTATAAACTCTTAACCACACTTGATACAGATCTATCATAGCTATGTCACATGTGGCCTCTCAAAGCAGTTGCCTAAATAAATTGCAATATAGTCATTGCATTCACAATTTTAATTTCATTAACTTTTTGGTTAAGCTCCATTTTGAATTTCTAGTCCTATCGACTCCAAGCCTATTTCCTAATGAGAGAGAATACAGCAGTGGCTTTCAAAGTTTTTTTGACTGAGGCTCATTTGCAGAACCAGAACATATATTTATAGATGATATTATAACTACAACAAAGATTCCATGAAATAATGCTGTGATAACGGTTTTATATATATATGTATATTCTGTTTTTTCAAATGCTAGTTGTGGATCCGCTAAATTGATTTCATGACCAACTAATGGGGTGTGACCTACAGTTTGAAACTGCAGGTGTAGCAACTGTGCAAAGCTGAGTAGACAAATTCCGGTATTAGTCCCCTAGCTTGTTTCCAGAATTACCGAGTTCTCTTTGCTCTTGATCACATACTACTAAAAGCAAACTAAATTTGTCATATGGGCGGTGGAGAATTTTTGGCTAACTCTTAAGCTAGTCTGACCGTCTCACTTGATAAACTCCTCTAATTTTGATTATTCAGCATGAACCCACAGATTCAATTTTGCGTTTCCGTAGCACATAGAATGGAACACTTATTTTCCTTAGCTTCTGCCCCTTAAGTTCCATGAACCTTGTACAAGATCGTTCTCCTCGTAGTTTTTAAGTTGTTCCATCTTTAAAGTGTAAACAACAAAACTTGCCCCCAAATTGCTTTGAGCTAAAAGAGAAGGTGGGTGATACATGGGGCTCATTATCATATCTTAAATATTCATAAATCAAAAATGCTCTGCAGCAAAAAAAAAAAAAAAAAAGCCCTATCACAATCACAAAGCATTTATTGAGAGCCCACTGGATGAAATTCATTCAACCGTTCTTCAAATTTTATTGTTCCTTGTTGTGTCTGTGCTGAGATTACAGTCCATGTCATTCCCAGTCCCTGCTCTCAGGAGTGAGTACAATGATTGGTAGATACACATATGTGAACAATACACCAATATGATTCTTAGTAAAGAAGGTATTTTTTTTTCTTGTTTAGAATTAATGAAGGAAACAGCCCATCTTCTGTTTCTATCTTCTTGTAGCTGAACTGTTTGCTTCCAAATATCTTGCCCATTCCCATCTCTGTCCTTTTGCCCATTTGTCCCCTTCCCCTGGAATGACCTTTTCTTGGAAAGCTCACCTACTACCTCCCTCTTCCATACAATCCTTCCTTCCCATGAAATCTCAGTGCACTCTGTTGCTGTTTTGCTTGTGGTACTTGACTCATTTTCTCCTAAATTATAGCAATATATTTAATTTGTTACATATATTTTTCCCACTCCTAAAAAGGATAACCCCCACACGTCTGTCAGTTTGTCGTACTGTAGGGGCTTGCATGTTCCTGTGATGCTGGAAGCTATGCCACCAGTATTCAAATACCAGCAGGGTCAGCCATGGTGGTCAAGTTTCAGCTGAGCTTCCAGACTAAGACAGAGTAGGAAGAAGGACCCAGTAGTCTACTTCTGAAAAGAATTAGCCAGTGAAAACCTTATGAATAGCAGCGGAACATTGTCTGATATAGTGCCGGAAGATGAGCTCCCCCAGGTTGGAAGGCACTCAGAAGACAACTGGGGAAGAGCTGCCTCCTCAAAGTAGAGTCGACCTTAATGACATGGATGGAGTCAAGCTTCCGGGACCTTCATTTGCTGATGTGGCACGACTCAAAATGAAAAGAAACAGCTACAAACATTCAATAATCGGAACGTTGAATATATGAATGTAGGATAATTGGAAATTGTCAAAAATGAAACAGAACACATAAACATCGATATCCTAGGCATTAGTGAGCTGAAATGGACTGGTACTGACCATTCTGAACTGGTCTACTATGACAGGAATAACAACTTGAAGAGAAGTGGCATTGCGTTTTTCATCAAAAAGAACACTTCAATATCTATCCTGAAGTACAACACTGTCAGTGATAGGATAATATCCATACACGTACAAGGAAGACCAGTTAATATGACTATTACTCAAATTTATGCACCAACCACTAAGGCCAAAGATGAAGAAACTGAAGATTTTTACCAACTTCTGCGGCCTGAAATCCATCAAGCGTACAATCAGGATGCCTTGATAATTACTGGTGATTGGAATGCAAAAGTTGGAAACAAAGAAGAAGGATTGGTAGTTGGAAAATATGGCCTTGGTGATAGAAACAATGCCAGAGATCGTATGACAGGATTTTGCAAGACCAAAGACTTCTTCATTACAAATACCTTTTATCAACAACATAAATGGCAACTATACACGTGGACATAGCCAGACAGAACATAGGGATCAAACTGACTACATCTGTGGAAAGGGATGATGGAAAAGCTCAATATCATCAGTCAGAACAAGGCCAGGGGCCGACTGCAGAACAGACTGTCAATTGCTTATATG